AAACCATTATGCTCACCATTATCGCACAATATATCCCACATAAAGGTTCAAAACCATAAGTAAATTGTGCATAGAATTCAAGATCTAACTCCCTACACGGCCCTATCGCAAACCTCGTATGTACATACAACAACCTTCCGATCAGAAATCGACAAGGAGTAACCAGAAACCTTCCCACCTCGGATACAATGGGCTAAGGGATCTTTTCTAGGAGACAGTGGAGCTGTTCCCCCCCTCCCCCCCAAAAAACACACGGATCAGAACGTCCTCCTCTCGGACACAACAGGTAGGTGACCTCTCTCTGCTTATGCATTCATCAAAGGCACTATCAACGGGACACTTAGACTAGGGTTCTCACACATGCAACAACTATAGAAACAAACATTTATACGAAACAATAAGTGCGATAATTATAGATACAACCTAAATGTACCCAGCTGGTAAAGAGCGAGAGATATCACAAAAATGAATATTTAATAAAGAGCGAGCTCGGCTCGTCAAGCATCTACATTTAATAAAATAGCCCTATAAATGAATATTCAACACATGTACAACTAATCATAAGCATTTAAACATGCATTTAATCAAGGAAATCTCATTTCCGAAAACATCACATAAGTTTTTCAAAAACTAACCCTTGCAGCGTTTTTAAAATCGACATAACTTTCAGCACATAATTTATATGAACATGATTCAAGTTGCATTAGAACCCTAGGACATGCATCTAAAATTCTTATACAGACATAAAAAATAAATAAGGTCATTTAGCTGGTGATAATTCAGCAAACATTCATTACAAAGAATCAGTCAAAAACTTGTAACATGTAACTAACCGGACTTCAGTAATTGCTAGATAACTGGAGCTACAGATATGCTTTTAATGAGATTCAAATACCACATGGAAGATAACTCAATTATCTACAAATTTCATTTATAGAATAAAAGCATTTAAGGTCATTAAGGTAGTGTAAAAATAGTTAACATTTGGAATCAGTTTCTGCTAAAGTACAAAACTCTATCTCATGCATAACTACATTCATATGAACACAACTCGAGCTACAGACAACATATCAGCATGAATCTTATCTCATGAGAAAGCTAAGAAATAGACCTATAACTTTCATGAAGATCACAAACTCATTTGAGTACATTAAGACACCATAAACATGTCATACATTAAATAAACACATGCTGCAGGGTAACAGAAAAACTGAACGCACGACATTTTTGTAAAAAATCATATTGGTCTATTGCTCTTTCCTTGTGCCTATTTCACTTAAGAGGGTTGGTTCACAGGCACAACCTTTGTAATTTCATGGTATACTCATGGATTGGCCAATTGAATCACCCCCGTGTTTTGTTTTCATATTGGGGATCGGGAAAGGCGATTAGGATGCTTTGGTCATTCGATATAAGACCGAATCATGAAATTCCGAAGCCCAGAGAATGCCAACAGAAAATACTATATTTCATATGAAGATTACCACTTCAAATAACAAGTTTCTGATGGCCTAAGTCACAACAGATCAATAGAAATGCGATTAAACATGCAATATCAATGAACCTATATAAAGAACTTATCAATAGCATCAGATGAACCCAATTATGATAAATCACAGCAACTTCATGATACTCAATTTTACAAAATTGAGAGTTCCAATCATCCACGTCAATTCATGATAACATGTACGAATAAATAAATGAATTGAGAGAAATCCGACTTCAAACAAGGATTTGATAGAACACACGATATCTATATCTAACATGTGATATATGAGCATGATTGGAAAAACGAGAAGGTTTGAAAATGTTACCTGTCTTCGGGAATCTACGAGCTATCGGAAGAAAAAATGGGTCAGGCGACGGGAAATAAAATAGAAGAATGGAAACTCGAAAACTCGCAAGCTTCGATGGACGACAGTTGAACACGAACAGCTCGTGAACGAACAGATACACCCCACAACAATCGGCGGCTGAGACCCGGTGACGAACAGTGATGAACAGGCTGCCGGAAGTGATTGTCGGAATCAATGGTGTATGGAGCCTCTATTAGCTTTTTACGACAGGCCAGCTCATGGTGGCCGAGGAATGCTGGAAAATGACCGCGTATGGCGACAATGATGGACATCGG